ATTTGTGACTATATTTGTTATGATTTGTCAGATTGTCCCCACCCATCTCATGCAATCATGGATGTGGCTGATCTTGTGTTGTGATTGGTTCATTGTCTAGCACTCAGATTGATAGTATGAATGCTACTTCTCCCCAGGGGTGGAGCCAGCATACAGTGTAAAGGTGGGAAGAAGGTGTATCCTTCATTCCCTTACTGGTTCATACTTGCTGTTTTATGGCCACCATGAATGGCTGCCCTGCCACACCATGCTGCCTTGGAGCCAATTGAGTATGGCCTGAAACCCCCAAGAACTATAAGAAATAAGCCTTTCCTTCATTCATTTTGGCCATCAGGTTGTGGTCTCAACAAGAGAAAAGTAACCAAGGCAGAATTTGGTACCAGGAATGGGGTTCTGTGACTATACCTGACTGGTTTAGGAGCCTTTGAGACTGGCTTGTGGGAAGTGTTTGGAGAGGTTCAGAGTTGTCACCTGACTGCATAGAACTGCAACAGCTTATGCTATTCTGTAAGGGAGATACTGGTCAGAGATCAGGAAATCAGAAGGCTGATAGAAAGCTTGCCTGTAAAAACCAGGCTTGGGAAGTTTCTGCTGGGAAGAAGGACTGCTGTGGTTGTTGGACTCCACACAATGTGTGTTATGGCTTGGCAGAAAGTGTCGCATTTTGCTTGTGCCCAGAGACTTTGCTTGAGACTGAGGTTCAGGGCAATATATTGATTAACCTGGCAAAGGAAATGTGAAGGCAATTGAATATTGAGGCAGTGGCATGGCTATTTTGGGGGGATTTTAGCCAGATTTATGTTGTGAATCAAGAGCAAAGAGCCCAGCAGGATGATTTTAAATGTTGTGAATTTGGGTAGGAAGCCGTGGATTGTAAAGATAGAGCTGAGACCTTGATTGCTGAGAAGGAACAAAGAAGGCCTGGGGCTATCCCAGGAAGCAGTGGGTTTCCACATTTTGCAGCCCCAAACCAGAAAAAGTGAAAGCGTTTGCTCCCAGGAGAAAGCTGCAGAGCACCATATTCCAGAGTTGCAATGGAAGCCACAGGAGGTTCCAAAATGGCAGTGACATTAAAAAAAAAAAAAAAAACTGTTCCTCACAATCAGTTTCAGAGAGCTCTGCAATCAAGGCACTTGATCCCTGCAACCAAGAGAGAGGAAAGCCTGGCTACTGCTCCAGCTGGCAGCAGACCTTGGTGACATCCACACAGCGCTTGTTTCAGGTACAAGGAAAATGCATGAGGTCTGAGGTTAAGGCAGCTTCCACCTCATTTTCAGAAGGCCTAGGACGCCAAGCAGTGTGCTCCTAAGAGAGAAGTATGTAAAAATGTAAGGGTGAAGCCAAAGGTGCAGTGGAGACTCCAGAAGTTGGGAAAAGCCAGAATCATGAATCATCCAAGGAAAGCTGCAAAGACCAAGCTTAGAGAGAAACTGTAGGAACTGAAACTCCTGAAAGTGCCATGTGGGTAGAGTTACTCAAGCCATTTGCAGCTTGCAGCCAGATTGTGTCAGATGCTGAGCATGGAACTCCATGACTTAATATCCGCTCTGCTGAATTTTGGACTTGCTTTGGTTCCAATGCTTTGTATTTCCTCCTGTTTGTAACTACTGGAATGGTAACGTTTATCTTATGCCACCATATGTTGGAAGTGTTTAACTTTGTTTTCATTTGTACAAGGGCTTGCAGCTAAGAGTTTGTCTTAGATCTCAGATGAGAGTTGGAACTTGGACTTTTCAGCAATGTTGAAACTGTTAGGACTTTGGCAACCCTTGGAGATGGATTAAATATATTTTGTATAAAGGATGCACATGAGTCTTTGAGGAGCCAGAGGTGGAATGTTATGGTTTGTCAGATCCACCACACACACACACACACACACACACACACACACACGTCTCATGCAATCATGGATGTGACTGAATCTAGCATTTGTGATTGGTTCATTGTCTAGCACTCACATTGATGGTATGAATGTGACACCTGCCCAGCGACAAAGCTAACATATAGTGTAAGGGCAGAAAGAAGGCGTATCTTTCACTCTTTTGCTGGCTTGCACTTGCTGTTTTGCAGCCGCCATGAATGGCTGCCCTGTCATGCAATGCTGCCTGGGAGCCAACTGAGTATGGACTGAAACACTCACAAACTGTAAGAAATAAACCTTTCCTTCCTTTATTTTGGGCATCAAGTATTTTGTCTCAATGATGACAGAAAAGTAACCAAGACAATATTCATAAGTGAATTAAATCAAACTCACATTTATAAATATCATGTTTTCTCCCTAGTGTAAAAAAAATAATAAACTGAAAGAGTAATAAAATCCAAAAGGTACAATAGATATTGTAATAATGAAAGGTGAAGAAAATGCTCAAAAGCAAAGAACAACTGTGATAGGGGAAAGGAGAAAAGGAAGAAAGGAAAAGATTATATGTATGTAGGTATACATAAATAACTATATGTATAAATAACTATATGCAAGATAGATAACTATACTACTAATCCTTGTTCCTTCATCAAAAAGAACCGTTTGTGCTATCATTGTGTGTTTATTTGATTGCTCATTATTTCTGCCTAGATATTGTAACCTGAACAACTACTTTTAAAATAACAATATGCACTATATTAACTAGTGTTAATTTCTTACTATTTGCTTTTTAGATTCTGTATTATTTCCATTCTTTTTTTTCTGTTTTTCTTTTTAAAATAAAATAAATCCTTCCCTTCACTTCTGAACCAGATCTAGAAGTCAACTTTCATGAATGTCTTTAGTTACACTCCCTCATGTCCTGAATTGACTCAAAATTTCTACCTTTTGTGGTCATTTTGACTTTGGGGAAGAGCCAGAAGTTGCAGTATCAGATCCAGGGAATTAAGTGAATGAAGACACTCTGTAATGTTTTTACGAGCCTAGCACTTGGCAGCAACAGTCACTGTATTTTTTATCACACCTTGAAAAGACACTCATGAAAGGAGACTTCCAGAGCTATATCAGAACATGACAAAAATGTTCTGAAACAAAATGTGTTCAAAGCCAGGGGGAGTGTATTGAGGGGAATTTTATTATAATAAATTTTTAAAATTTAAATACTGTATATTTTGATTATCACTTACATGTCTCTCATCTGAACTTTCGAAGTGAATTCTTGTTAAATATTTTGTTCTTTTTCATGTTTGGGATATGACTCATATATTCTAAAACACACCACTCTAAAGTGTACACTTTACAAATGTGAAGACCTACAACATAGTTCATTGTCTCCTAAAAACCCTTTAGCACAGACTTCAATTTCATGCCGCTTGCAGCACTTGGCGACTACCAACTTACTTCCTGTCTCTCTAGATTTGCCTTTTCTGGACATTGTGTGTAAATAGAATCAGACAATCTGTAGCCTTTGGTATCAGGGACTTCCCCTCAGCACCATGTGTTCAGGTCCATCCATGTTGTGACACATGTTCAGCACCCATTCCTTTTATGAATGTGTACTGCTCCCATGTGGGGTAGTCCACACCTAGCCACCCATCCTTGCTTGAAGATGTCTTTGACAAAAGAAGCAGGATCCATCATATGTAAATTTTCTTGTTTTAAAGAAAGCAGTAATGTTCCATAGATACAAATTATGTAAAATAAGTTATTTTATACCATTAGAAAGTCTTAATGTTGACATATAATATTCTATATTTCTAAAACACATAGTGCTTACATAGTCTTAATGTAAAGAGGCTCGGCTTACTAAAAATTTATAACAATTTTTTTTAATTTTATTTTGAAAGTATACAACAGAACAAGTCAGAATAAAGCCAACTAAGATTGTACAGTGAAATTGGTACAGAATTTCACAGCAGGTTACCGGGATAACAGTAATAGGTATCATAGTATATTTTGTTATCTTTATAATAGTTGTTCTTTCAATCACATATATCAAAATGAGATGAAATATAAAACTTATCAAAACAGAATATTGAATAGAGCAGTACCATTAATCAGAAAAGAGCAAAACAGTAATAAAAATATTTGCCTTCAAAGAAATGGTAGAAGGAAATCCCCCATATTTGCTACGGTCAACCTCCCAGGAGATACTCAGATTTCTAGTTTTCATTTGCTAATGGGCGGGGGGGGGGGAGAAGAAGGATAGGGGAAGTGGGATATTTGACTCTAGGCCATGTAGCAGTAGGTTCACTATTGCTAAGCAGGGAGACAGGATGGTCATTTGCTTTCACAGCGTCCTCAGTTCCAACATGGCGTGGATCTCAGGAGACACTGCTGGTTCTCCCCCTGGAAGGGCTGCAGTGGGCCACACTGCCGCCGCTTACCAGGGAGGGGAGGTGCTTGCTTGGCTTCCAAGAGTCCTAAGTTCCAACATAGTGTGGATCTCCGAAGACACTGCTGGTTCTCCCCCTGGAAGGGCTATAGTCTGCCACCCTGTCTCCGCTCATCAGGGAGGGGAGGTGCTTGTTTGGCTTCCCAGAGTCCTAAGTTCCAACGTGGTGCTGATCTCAGGAGACTGCTGGTTCTCCCCCTGGAAGGGCTGCGTCCGCCACCCTGCCTCCTCTTACCAGGGAGGGGAGGTGCTTGCTTGGCTTCCCAGAGTCCTAAGTTCCAACATGGCGTGGATCTCAGGAGACACTGCTGGTTCTTCCCCTGGAAGGGCTGCAGTCTGCCACACTGCCGCTGTTTACCAGGGAGGGGAGGTGCTTGCTTGGCTTCCCAGAGTCCTAAGTTTCAGCATGGAATGGATCTCAGGAGACACTGCTGGTTCTCCCCCTGGAAGGGCTACAGTCTGCCCAATTTATAACAATCTTAAGTTGATTATTTCTAGGGCAAGAAGTTAAGTGATTGCAGTTTTTCTTGTGGCATCTTAAAGGTCTTCCATTGATCGTATTGTAAATCAGCATTACTGACCGATTTGAGGTCAGTGCATTCAAGAACTCAGAGCACCCAGAAAACTATATGGCCTTTTGATTTGACTGTAGGAATTCCCTGATGTCTGTTTTTGTTCCTGCAGTATTTTCTTCACTGAGCCTTGGCCTGCTTCCGGAACGATCTGCTACTCTAATGGTCTATGAAGACATTGTCCAAATAGTATCAGGATTCCAAGGTATGTTTAAAATTTTAAAAAGAATGACAGTCACTCCAGAGCCACTACTAAGACCTTTTAGTCAGATGGTGAAGGCAGCGGTGTTATCCACAGCTAGGGTACAGTACTTACTGTTCTCGCTGTGAGGCACCAACATCTGAATTCAGTTAAACTGTCAGTTGCCTGCAACCTTATTTTTTTCAGACTCATCCTGTGTGTGTATAAGCATGTGATAGAAAAGAAGGGACTGCCCTGCTCTGCTTAGCCTCTGTACACACACACAAACACACATTTGTACAGTCTCCCTATCCAAAGCAGAGAGATTGTCGGTCTGACTCAGTCCCAACCCAGTGCATGCCTGGGCTGCATTTACTAGTGGGCAGAGGCTAGTAAGTGTGTGAGTGTGGCTTTTTGCTTTCCTCGTGTCCCTTGTTTTTTCATCTGTCTCACACTGTGGTTCTCACACACACCCCAGCTCCCGTGTCTCCAGAGGAGAAAAAGCAAACCTACGAGATTCTGGGAACTTGTGTCCTTGGTAGTTTGGGGGTAAAATGTATTTATGGCTTTTGAATAGCATTTTACTTCATCTAAATCATGCACTTTAGAATCATGTTTCCTGGCATTGGATATTCCTTCATGAATAAATCCTTCCATTACATTTGGCTCTCCATGTCTGCAGATTCCACGACCATGGATTCTATGCCTGCAGATTTGGCCATCCTTTGATAGAACCCCCTACACAAGAAAGTCACATCACTAGGGAATAGAGACATTAATCTTGTTATTTTTCCAACAATAATATAGCATCTATTCATGTAGAACTTGCATTGCATTAGGTGCTATAAATAATCTAGAGATGATTTAAATTACACCAGAGGAAGGAACTTTGCTACTGTGGATTTTGGTGTCCACCGGGGATCCTGGAGCATTGCTCCATGACACTGAGGGATCACTGTCCTTTATGCCCTGTTCCAATACCATTTTATATACCACTCTTCAACAAACCAGATGTGCATGCCACCTGCAGATGAAGTGACTCATTCCTCCGTACATTATTACAAGCTGTGGACACACAGAAAGAACTTGACTTGCAGCTATTTCTCTTAGTGGATGAATTCGAAGAGGAAAGAAGTCTCCTGTAGCATTTTTGACTCAAGTTTGGAAGACAAAACAAATAGAGATGCAAATTTTGATGTCATCTGCACCGCAAAAATCCATAAAGCTGTCTTTCTTTCTTCCAGGAGAGAACAATGATGAGCCTGAGTTTTCCACACCCTTTTATATTAGCACCGTTCTGTGGCCTATGCCTGTGGCTTTGGTGCCATCCAGTTTTTCTTTCATTACCTTTGCTATGGTCTAGAGTTACTGGCCATCTCCTGTTCCCAGCCCCAAGGACATTTCCCCTCCACTTTCAGCGGAGAATGATGTCATTCTGCCTTGAGGCCCTTTGTTCTGGACTCCTGGTCTTTTTTCCTTGAGAGACTCCAGTGCCTTTCCTGGGCCCACACTTCATTCCATTTTTTTCCTGTGTAGTCTCATGTGGATTCCTGTATTTCAGCTTTGCCTAGATACTAACTATGCCCATAGATGTCTTTCAGAAAAACTCAGCCTGCCCTGAAATAAAGGTTTGGAGACTGCTGCTTATTTGAACTGTGGCCTGGGGAGTCCTGCAGGTACCCCATGCCACTGTGCTGGTCTTGTGTCTGTGTTCAAACTGAGCTAGACTCCAGCAGGTCAGCACAGGCTCTCTGCCTGTCTCTTTCCCAGCTACTCTGACAGGACAGCCAATCTTGTTTTCCTGGGGCAAGCTCCAGTCTTTCTTTCCTGGCTCCCTTTTGCCCCTGGTGTAGAATCACATCCTTGCTTAGCACTCACAGTCTCTCTAACCTGGCCTCAGTCTCCTTGCTAAGAATTCTGCTCCCTCATTGCTATGTTCTAGCCTAAATGAATGTCTTTTTCTGTTTTCCATTTGAGATGTCTCACCCCATCTTCTATCATGCCATTGCCCCGGACCCTACAGATTGAGCCCTGTCACAAACATAGTACCCCTTTAAGGACAAAACTGCTCGAAGGGACAGGAGTATCAGCAAAGGATTGCACAGTCTCTCCTTAGGTGGGAGATGCTACCTGACCCCATCCCTTTAGGCTCTGGCTGGAGTGGATACCCAGCACAGGGGACCCAACTTGTTGAATGATTAGGAGTCAAGGCGTGGCTAAAAGTTAGCAGCTCTGGTCTCACTTTCTTTTATTCAGATTGAACTAAGAATCCAGGAGTGGCAAGAAGTGCAGCTGAACAGTCATCAGATACAGGCTGGACCCAGGCCCTAACCAGACCACCTATAAACTGGTTAGAAGGAGCAGAAAGAAAGAAAAACAGAGGAAGCCTTTGGTAGCAGATCGGAAGCAAATATGCTGGGCTTAGTGGCCCAGTGTTTGAGTGGGTGAATTCCATGCTCAGCCTAGATCTTCCTTCCACCCCAGTCATCCTGGCGCTGCCTGCACCCACTGCCAACAGTGCCAGCACCTATGATTTCATGCTATCTGGCTCCTGTCCTGGATGCCCATAGTCCAATTGCCTGTTGGTCCGCAAGTCCTTACAAATAGCCACTGGCTGGAACTCTGGGTCTTTTTATGTTGCCTCCTTCTCTGCCATATGGACGATCTACCTGTGCTTCTTCACTAAATTTAAAAGCTTGGCAGAGGAGGCCTGTGTCATTGTCATCTTTGATAGTGAGGGCGTCCATGAAGTACTGAGTAAACTACACACAAAAGCAATCAGAGGCCAGCTACTTGTTTTCCTATAGACCATTTATACTGTGGTCAGTATTTTCTTTATTGTGAGTGTTTAAAAAAGAAAGAGCGTAGTTCACACACATGCACATATTTATGTCTTCACACACACACACACACACACACATACACACTCTACTTGAATAACTCTTTTTCTCTCTGGAACAAGAATTATTCTACTGGGGCTGGGGATTTAGCTCAGCGGCATAAGCACCTGCCTTGCAAGCAGGCGGTCGTGAGTTCGATCCCCGGTACCGATAAAAAGGAAAAAGACCAAAAAAAAAAAAAAAAAAAAGAATTATTCTACTGTAAATAAGTCCAAAGCAGTGAGAAACTGTGGTTTCTGATACCATTAATTTGTTTGGTCTATATATCCCTGCCTCCTGTAGCTAACCAGAAATTAGCTGAGAGCCATTTCTTCCTTTAGTAACCTCATTTCCACATTACTTCTTAAAATTGCAGGAATTTTGTTAATTTTTTAACTCACTTTTACATCTTGAGTTTAACAGTGTTAGTTGTAGTATTCCTTATCTCAGTGAAGTTGAGGCATTAGCAGTGATATGATAATGGATAACTTTATTTGTCAAAGGAAACTTATATGTGGTTAAGAAAATGGGGAAATCTTTAGTGCTATTTATATACTGCAGTTTCATTCTATGAAACTACTATTGTATTGAATGTATGAATGGTACATTGTTTGTATTTGCAGTATGACCACATTTAGTCACCTTTATTATTTTTCAGTCAGTACAAGGAAAGGGAACAGCAAATTCTGAGCCAGTACTGGCTCAGAAATGCCAGTACTGCAAGCCAGTTGGCTTTGCAGGTTTTGCTGAGACAGCACGGCATGGCAGATAGTCCTGCCAAGAGGTTGGGAGCACCAGTGACAGCACTGTCTTGAAGACTCATGTGGAGATGATGCTTGGTGTTTTATATGACACCACAGGAAAAGCTTTGCAAAATGGAAGGGCACTGTGGGAGAGAGGAGGGTGAGGGAAGAGCCAGTGTTCCCTGGGATAGACACTTGATGCTTCCGTTGAGGTTTTTGCTTTAAAATGTTTGCAGTCAAATAAAATAGAATAAACAAATGGTAATGAGAGGTTTTCCATAAAAACTAAAAGACTGTCCACTTACTTTCTTCCCAAAAGACGAACTATTCAATATTTACGCAAATTCCGACCCACGCACCAATAAAGCCCTTCCCATATCCCAGGTGGGCAGTGTCTTGCAGCTGTGTGCCAGAGTAAGCAGAGGGGTAAATGCACGGCACTCATGAGACAGGCTTTAGCAGTCAGTAGCCTTGGCATTTTGGAAGTGAAGAAGCGAATGTACTGTTAGGGTCCACCCTGTTTATAAAGAAAGCCGGAACGTACTTGTATTGGAGGAGAAGGGCAGAGCCCAGTCAAGTAAGTGGCAAGCTGGAGGAATTCCCTGAGGAGGCTGCATCTGAAAATGTGCTCATTGTTGCAAAATGCTGATAAATTTCTTCCAGGGTTATCACTGAGATAAGAAAATGGGAAGAGAGAATGCTCATAAATTAAGAGAATCTTTCTTAGTATTTTGTGCTCTGCTGAAGAACACTTTTGGTTGAAATCTTGTGGGAAGTGTTTGATGGTAAATCCTGAAGCTAACCCAGGTGATTGATGGTGAGGGATGAAGGGGTGCTGTGATTATCCGATGCTATAGATGAGACTACAGAGTTGGCCTGAGGCTCCTACAGCCTCCCAGAGCCCTCTGCTGACTTGAGGGAGACACTCTGAACACAGTGACAATAGAGAGCAAGATGCTGGGAAGACACTCCTGGCTGCTCCTAGAAGTTCCACCTGCAAGCTGCCTGCCACACCCACATCAGTGGTCCTGTCCTCTTTAGGGGCTCTAGCTGTTCCCTATGCAGCTTTTTTTATGTTCCCAGAGCACCTCCTGGAATCCTCTTGCCCCACTTTCATGTACCTCCTCCTACCAGTGAACTTGCTGCTTGTTTCAGAGATAAAACAGAGGCCCTCAAGGACCAGTTTCCTCAGCCATCTTTCTGCTGCTCCCTCTGCTATAGGGACCTTTCCCTGCAAGATTTGGCCCCTGCCCTGAGCCCTTTCACCTCCACACTGGGTCCCATTCCTGTCTCCTCTCCAGCTTTCCCCAAACTGTGCACCATATTTTCCCCTTGGTCCTGTCTGAGCTCTCAGAATCACTTAAAGTTTTGCCATTCAAAAAGAAATCTTCCTTATACCCTG